GGGGCATCACCAGCACACATTGCAGCAAAGCACTAGAATGTACTGTTTTGCTCCAATCTGACCAGCTAGCATGCCTAAACGATATCTGGTTCCAATTTTTTTTCCTTTATAATCATTCTTTCCATGTTCCATTCTTTCTTTCTCTCAGCACTCCCACTCCCCCAAAATGAATATCAAAGCATCTGAAAAAAAATTGAGTTTATTTCTTATTTTTCACAAATTTTCAAACTTTATTTTTTGCTTTTATTATTTCACAATCATTTTTTGGGAGCTATTATGCACCACCTGACCAAGTCTCATGACTTCAAGTTTGTGTTTCAGAGCTCTGGAATCCAAAATAAGCAGCTGCTTTTCATTGTCTACCCACTGTACAAACTTTGAGGAATGTCTAGAACAAGTAATTGTCTGATTTGCCCAAGGTGCTACATATTATTTTTTGAATGAACAAGATAGCTCAAACAGCATACAAGCATATCACACTGAGAAATACTGTTCCTTTTTTTGGTTTGATCAAGTTGATTAAAATTGAAAAATACACATCATTTCAAGGTTTGAGGGAATATGAACTTTGAAAGATACTGTTGGTTTACAAATTGTGAAGAATAGCAAGAGCCAGGGAAAGAAGTGTTGTTGAGACAATGACTTAACTGTCTCATGGAAAAGATGCATACATTCACCATATGTTTCATCTGCTTAATTTAACAAATAATGGATCCTCCCTATTGGTGGGAATTAATCTCTGAAAGAGGAATCAGGAATTTCATAGATACTCAGCTGCCTGGCTAGATATCTCTGAGTTGAACCATCACTTTTCCTTGATCATCATCTGACCTACTTTCAAACATACTAAATAAAAAAGAATCCCATAGCCATGCTATTAAACCAGACCTTAATTGTGTTTCAGCTCTTACACTGTTATTACACTGCTTCAGCACATCCACTTTCACCTTCAAAAATGTTTCCCAAAATGCAAGTTTTAAATATTGCAGAAATTTCACACCATCCCACAAAAATTAGAAAGAGGTCAATGGGTGGTATAGTAAAGATGGATGATGATTTATCTTTTCATGACTTGATAGAGGATCTCTTTGAGAAAAAGTCAGAGAAAGAGCCGATAGAAGCAACATATAATAATGAAGGTAATCAATTTGTTTCAAACTTTATTGTTCTTAGAGCTGATAGGTTTAATAATCATGATGTATGATAGATGATGCCAATGCTTCCAATTTTTTTTATGAAAGAAAGGGTAAGCCAAAATTTTATAATTGAGATGATAAAACTCCACTTAACACAAAATCTGTTGAGTATTTTTCAAGGTGAAACATCAAAAACAAAAGGATTTGAAAGCAAAGATAGTTTTGAGCCAGTAAAAGAAGATCTAGAGAATGAAGTTTTTGATAATACATCAACATGGTCTGAAGCTAAATTTTCTGACTCCAAAATTGAAGATAGAAATTTCCATAATTGTTTTTCAGAAGAAAGTAAAAGTTGTAATGAAGATTATGGGAAGAATAAGAATGAGAAGAAGACCAAAAGAAAATCATTCTTAAGTGTGTGATATTTTTCTGCTTTAATTTTCATCAAATCAGCTGAAAAGAAAATTGATATTCTATTCAAACAAACAAAAAAAATACCATCAGGAACAATGATGAATCCAGGAAAGAAACTTTGGAAAACCTATCTTCAAAGAGGGTCATCAAAATCCTCCTCTTTAGAGAAATCCAAAAGTCAAAGCAAGATCAAAATATTTGGAAAAAAATCAAGATAAAAAAACAATGTAGTTATCACGTAGCTCTGTTCTTGACACACTCACACCTTTCACAAATCATCACATGAAGAGAGTCAATTAGACCAATGTTTCAAGTGTTGTGGAAGAATCAAAATATAATAATCAATCAAGTGGGTCATACAAATCATTGAATTCAAACATCTCAAGTCCAGTATGTATGATATGACCATAAATCAAAAGGCTCTGGAATATACAATCCTGTCTTGGTCACTTTGGTGGCATGTTGCATATTTAACTGCTATTCATCTTAGTTTTTCCTGTTTTTCTGTCCTCACCTTTTTCACTTTGGAGCATTGTAACAATGGAATCTGGGTATCTACATATTCTTTGTCAATCACAATTTTTTTGAATTATTTCTCAGTGGGCATGAACTCCTTTTTCATCAATCAAAATTGTCACTATGGTAGAACAGTACCATGGATGATGTATGTCAAATAATTCTACCAATTCATAGGGAAACAAATCTTGGTATGCTTCAAGTGTTCTATTTTCTGCTCCAATTTCTAAAACAAGCAAAATAATCATGCATGATCCAAGAAAAAGAAAAAAGAAACAGAAAAAAAAATCAAAAAACCTAGGAGGTATTACATATTGGCAAATTGACCAGACAGCATCAAAAGTATCTCCCATGTCCATACTGAGTTGAGTAGATCAAGCGGTGAGATAAATTCTAAAGGAATCCTGAGATAGAATACCATTGGTGGCCGGGATTGGGGAAATGGAATGGAGTATGATGTCTTTAGATATTGCGAGCCATTTCGATGAAAGTGGGACTAGTGGCTGATTGAATTTTGATACTTTTTTGATAAAAATAACAAAGAAAAAAGAAAAAATTAAAAATTAAAAATTAAAAAGAGTTGGCCAATATGTTACATATGTAGGGCCAAATATTGTAATGTAAAGTATTGGCCTACAGTTTCATTCATGTTGAAGAATCTCAAGTGCTCCTCAAAGAATCCTTTGCCACTCTGTGGAGGGGCTCAGCTATGTAGCTCACACCTGACCACCCACTGATTTGATGATCAGCTCACTAGACTTTTGTTTTTACAACAAGCTTGGTCTCATCAACTTTCAATTTTATTCTTCCACAATATTGAGACCACTTTTAGTTAATTACCCACATGTGCAAGAATGAAGAAGGAGAATACTTTCAAGCTCAAGAAAATCGAAAGAATGTCTATTCCTCATTGATTGCTGTGATGGACCTGTACACCTGTCTGTCCAAAGATATGATCAATGATCCCCACAAGTTTCCAAGCATTGAATAACCTGGCTTTACTGCCAGGTGAGAGGGAGATGGAGGTAGGTTTGCAAGATGATGGTCCTCAAAATTTGTGAAAGTGAATCTCATGCCATTTCCAGACTCATAGATTCAAATCTCTTTGCCAATGAATTGGTATACCTGAGCTTTAGAGAAGAGCTTTTTATCTTTCAATCTTATTTTACCTTTCTCTGAAGTCATGTTTTTTTTTTATCAAGAAACCTATCGCTCTTAGTTAAAGTATTGCTTGGATGATCTGCTATTTGTGATTTGTAGAGGACCAATATCTTTTTCTTTGGAAAAAGACTAATTTCCTTTGATCAGTGCTAAGAAAGAATAAGAACCAGCTCATTAAGCACAAATATGAAGATATAGAAAAAGCTAGTGTGATCTGATCTGAGGGCCAGCGCCAAGTGATGAATAGCTCAACAGTTAGCAGGAGCATCCAAGGGAGTCCTACTAGCCGGATCGAAGTTATTGACGATGAAGAAGCGCGAATTAGAGCAAGTGACCTTGACGTTAACCCGGTCGGGGAGGAGCGGTTGTTGAGGGATCTCCCAACAGTTGTAGTCGGTCTTCTGGGCGAGAAGCCATCGGGCGGCGGGGCCGGCTTGGATGGCCACACTGGCGATCGGGAAGTCCGAGTCGGCGATCAGGATCGACAGGTGGAACTTGGATGCCCCCTCCTTGTTGATGATCTTCGGCTTCTCCCTCTGGAACGGACAGGCTACTACTTCCCTGTGTTTATATGTAGTGCGTGCCAGAGATGGTGGTCATACATATAAATCAAAAGTTTATCTCCTTCGAACCGATTGTCAATGGTCAGAATGAGAGGATGAAAGGCTTACCAACTGAACCTATCCACACCCGGCCGTTTGGGCCCATCGCCCATCAGTCGATTATACATTGTCTGTGGCATATCAAGTGCGCCGGGTGGACACTTTTAAAAATGATAGCGAATGATGAGAGAGGCGGAGGACGATGACTGCAGGCAGAGTCCAAAGACTCACATTGGCACAATAGGATGAAACTACCGCAACCACTGGGGCCCGCTTTCCATCCAACGGAGTCACCTTGATACATGCTCCACAATATTCCGCTCGGCCATTCAAGTCCTTGGCTACGGCGACATACTCGAGATTACGAGGTTGTTGGTAACTTTGCAAAAGACAACTGATCATGGATAGTTTATTTTTTATTTTTTATCAGCATAGTTTGCAAGATGAAGTTGCATAGAGGGGCCGAAAGATTTTTAAAGTCTCATGATCACCTTCCAGCAAACGTGGCCCCATTCCAATAAGTGCCTTGGACGTTGGTGAATTTCTGGCCGGTCTTGGGCGCCAGTTCTGGGGTAAGAACAAGCCCAGCGATCAGTTGAAGCGAGTCGAGGAAAAGGATCGATAAGCTTATTGTAATATAAAAGCTTGGAAAGAGCTTGGAATACATGATCGAAACCTATTTAATACAAGCAAGCTGATTATTATGAAGTCGTAGTATCTATAACTCCGCTTGTAATGATAAAAGCCTCTGGGACATCAAGATTCGAAAATAAATCAGACTCGCAGCTCGGTATGTATGATGAGGAAGAAAGTTTTTTTTGGATGGTTATTTCGATAGGAACCCGGTCTATTTATGATCTCTATCCACTCCCCAGCTTCTCTCTCATTCTCTCATTCTCATTCTCTCTCCTTCGATCAACCAGCGATCAAATTGTGTGACTATGTACCCATCAGGTCTCGATCGAGCACCTTTGTTGGTTGTTTGCTTGTAGACATTCCTTTTTTGACAAGATGATTCGTGAGGTCCCTGGTTTTAAAAATCGCGTCAGTCGCCAGATTGCGTGTTTCTTTCCTTTACATAGGCGGGAGGTAGAAGTGTGGTGCAGTTGGTTGAATGAAGAGTGATCTGGTTCGTGATCAGAGCAGCAGCTATTTTGAGATGCCGTTGTAGCAGATGTGCTGATGGCGAATGTGTGTGAGGATGCTATTCTTGAGTTGCAGCTTGATGCAGGATGTCTGATGTGATTGTGTCGAAGGATGAGTTGTAGAGCTGTCTTTGCTGGTTTTGGTCAGGCTTCGTATTTTGAGGAAGCAGGGGGTGTTAATTTTGCTTTTTCTGTGTTTGGATTAATTTGTAAATTATAGAAGTTTCGAGACAAGAAAGTGCTGGAAGCAAACCAATCCCAATCCCAAGCACTTCTTCATGAGACCAATCACCTTCAACCCATGCAGACTCACTCTGCCACTACGACGAGCACCAAGACCACCACTACTACTACTAAGACTACTCCACCACCACCACCCACCAAGAGCCTCCATCAGAACCATCAGCCCATACTCAACTCAAGCCGACCATCATCATCATCATCAAGAACTCAAGCCGAGCAAACTTGCAAGACAACAACAGACTGAGGACAGCAAGAAGACCCGGGAGAACATCTACACGATCCCCAACCTACTCACCTCCACCCGAATCATCCTCTGTCCACTCCTCAGCTACACCATCATCCATGACCACCATCTCCTCAGCACCGGACTGCTCCTCTACTGCGCTCTCTCAGACTGGCTCGACGGAAAACTGGCTCGCATGTATCCCCACAAGATGGCCAGCGTCCTCGGCACTATCTTAGACCCGGCGGCTGATAAAATCCTCATGACCACTTTGGTCCTCAGTCTCAGTTATAAGACTCTATTGCCTCGTTCAGTCGTTCTTTGTCTCTCTCGCTTGTTTTAATGTTCTTATCTCGAATTTCTCTCTGTGTCTATTCTTTAGTGCCTCTGACTTCGATCATCATTGGACGAGACTTATTACTCTCACTCTCCGCATTCTATTTCAGATATCAATCATTACCAACACCAGTAATATCGACCTGATCTTACCACTCAACCCTTTTTTTTTTTTAGAAAACTAACATTTGATGTCCGTTTATGTATATCCCAGAAAACGTTTGCTAGGTTCTGGGATTTCTCATTGCCTTCCGCCCAAGTCACGCCGACCCAGATCAGCAAAGTGAGAGTCCATCAACACTATACATATATCCACCAAAAAATACAACACATCAAAACTAAGCACTTCTTTGACGGTTGATCGAATAAGTATAACACCTTCCTACAATTGAGTCTGGTCGGCTTGACGACAATCAATCCACTCATTCCTCTCGACACACACACGCCCATCGTACTCCTTCAGTTGAGTTCGGTCCTCATATCTCTTGACCACTCTATTGGCCCCTTCTGATGCCCCTCCCCCCCCCCCCCCCCTTTTCTTTGTGAAACAGATGGACCGTTGCATCTACTACGATCATCTCTGGACTGTCTTACGTGTTCTCGAGAAATGCGATCCAATATATTCGATAACCCTCACCCCCCCACCCCGCTTGAGACGATAGATTATGCTAGTGGTGGAATGATACTTTTCATCGTATATCCCTCCAAAACTTAACAACAAAAACAAGACGAAAATCATGAGGAGGGACGAGTCGAAAATTGATATAATGATCGGCAACCAAAAGATCGATAGATACAGTCACCCAACAAAAAAAGAAGAACCAATAAACTGTTCTGGAAATCCTCAAAAGAAAACTTGGGGCTAGATTCCAAAGTTTTTTTTTTTTCTTCTTCTTCTAATATCCAAAACAATTGTGTAAAATTTTGTTTAATCGAATCAATATGTAGCCCAAAGTATCAAACGATCGTAGAAAAGGGTTTTTTTCTTCAGGACTGGGAATGGGATGCAATTTAGTGAGTTGATTAATTGAAGAACCCATGCCTCCGTTTTTTTGTAATGAACCATATTTGATTGGAAATCTGAAGAGAAAAAAAAAAACATCATTGACAAGAGCTACGTATGTAGCTGATGGAAAAGTTGAAAAGATAAGGAGAAGGGGAGGTTTCCTCCAATCATTATGGATGGGAAGGATAGGTAAAGAATGATTTGGTTTTTGCCAGTAGTTTCGAATACAGTTGACTCATCTATCAACCATCTCGACCTTGTTCACATGTACACCACGGGGCGGGTTTTGAGAAAACCTGTACATCCAATAGTCGTTTTCTGAGCAAGAGCATCCCTTGGACGCTATGAAAGCATCCAAGAGACGCTCCGGTGCCCCAAGCATCACTTGGATGCTTCTGAAACTATCCAAGTGATGCCTGGTGGTCAAGACCATCCTCTGGACAGTAGCAAATAACGATCGATTGGACACTCTCAATCAAGAGTGTCCAATGGACACTTTTGAAAGCTCCCAATTTTCACTTTACAGGTGGGGTGGTTGATGGTTGAAAAAACAGGCTAAAATCCAGTTGATTGTGAAAATTTTCATTCCAAAATCCACATGACTTGGGGGGTCAAAAGTCTAAATTAAGCCGGAAAATTGGCTTTGCATAAAAATTTGCATTATGTACCATATAGGTGGTAACTTGTTAAATCTGATATAGTCAACTTCACAACACCCAATCCGCCCAAGAAACCAGACTTTCTTGGTGCACATGAATTCAGCACACATGTAAATTTTCATATGCCAGGTTTCTTTGGCTGATTTTTTCAATTTCTTTGGCTGATTTTTTCTGTTCTTCATTGGCTTTTTTTTTCTTTGCCCATTTTTTTTTTTTTTTTTCATTGGCTAATTTCTTTTTCTTGGGCTAATTTCTTTTTCTTGGGCTGATTTCTTTTTCTTGGGCTTATTTCTTTTTCTTGGGCTTATTTCTTTTTCATGGGCTTATTTGTTTTTCTTGGGCTAATTTCTTTTTCTTGGGCTAACTTCTTTTTCTTGGTCTGATTTCTTTTTTGTTGGCCGATATCTTCTTCTTTAGCTGAGTTTTTTTTTCTTTGGCTGAGTTTTTTTTGTTGACTCCTTTTCTTGTCCTATTGCCTGAATGAAGCTGTCAAAGATGCCAGTGGGAATAGGCCCACCGGCACACATCCAATCAATCAATCAAAAAAAAATCAAACTACAATTATTCTAATATCTCAAGCCCACATTGGCACAAGTCATCAACAAGGTCTGAGAGTCATAGACCTGTTCAAGCTGATAAGTCTGTTCAAACTTTGCACAGAGAGTGAACAGGGCCAGGTCACTGAATTTGGCCTGCTTGAGCTCACTGGGAAAGTGCAATACACCCTGGGTGCCTGTGGGCTGAAATCAGATAGGCATCCAGCCAAGTGACTGAGACAATCAGAACAGATGATATTTTGTTGAAATTGGAGAAGCAAAGAGAATAATCTTGTTAGAAAATATAGCTTGAGTAAGGTAGAAAAATTCATTTTTCTGGGTGACATAGGGGAAATGGCAATTTTTACATCAGGGGCCAGCCACCCCTATCAATTACATGTATATTCCACTCACACATCAGTGAAACCTTTACCAACAGTTTCCCAGTGAACCATCATCTCAAAATTTACTTTCTTTACACAATTGTATTTTTTTCACTGTGATTTAGGGACAATTCCCAAGCTGTTATTGTTCATCCTTTGAGCCCATTGCAGCGTGCTGTGCCTTTTCTGTATGCCAAAAGCATACAGCAGAGGTGTTGGTATAGTATAGCTACATACATGTGACGGTCATTACAAGAGAAGGGATAATCATTAGGGATGGGTTATGGTATACACGGACAGGAGTACATACAAGGAGTGGTGCAGCAGAGCATGTCTCAACCAGGAATAGAAAGGAGAAGCAGAATTACATACAAGGAGTGGTGTGGCAGAACATATCTCAACCTGGAATGGAACAGAGGAGCGGAAGTATATACATGGAGAGGAGTGGGAGAACATGTATCAACCAGGAATGGAAAGGAGGAATGGTGTTTATAAGGGTACTTTATTTTTTATGTAAGGGTACCGGGTACAGATTGTAGAAAGGGAGGGGAGGAAAAATAATTGAGGCGGAGGGAGAGTGAGGAGAGGCTTTGAATCCCAAACTCTGGATGGAAGGAGTTACCAGCAGGCCTGGCAGCCTTGTGCTTCATGCAGAGGATTTTTGTTGGAATTCAAACCCAGTAGATAGAGGTCTAACCCTAAAAAGGGCCAGAACCCTACAGACAGACTGCGCAGCTGTGATTGATAAGCAACCGTCACTAAAAGCATGCGATGAACCATCTAGGAGAGCAGAAAACTAACCAAGATGGATTCTACAGATGATAATCCATCCGCCAACACAAAAGAACCTGACGAACCCACCTATCTAAACAGGAGGTGAGTTCACAGTAAACTAAGCCCAAGACGAGATGTAGCACAAGCGAGTCCAGACACTGATTCTGGTACACCTTAATTAGCAGCTTGCTCGAACGGCTATCATCCCCCATCGCAGCAACTTTGGCAAACAAGAATCCTCTAAGCAAACCTATCAGTGAGCAACTGAATATGAGAATATCACTATTAGACCAATAACTAATACCAGACACATTCTCTAGACAAAACAGCTGCAACCAAAGCCACTAAGACCCAGAACACAAAACAATACCTTGAAAGAAAAGAAGAAAGTAACCTCACTGTTCAACAACGACTTTAAGCAAAAAGGAGAGAAGAACAATCGACATCTCCAAAGTGAGATCAACCATCTCTAACAGCCATAGACTTGAAGCATTGAAAGCTAATACGGAAATGAATCTTTATCATCACGCAGAACGTTTCCTTTATCCCTTTCCTTATTAACAATCTTCTCGCCTCTACCTTTCTCTTAAATTATTCCTCTCACAAAAGACTACAAAGTTTTGCTTGCTTCTAGTTGCTTGAAAATTTTCAATTTTATGGAATATGGCTTGGTTACATGGCAACACATGACACTTCACTTTGGAAAGAAAAGTGTGTCCCTGAAGAATTGTGGCACTTCTCTGCTCTGCAACACTACCTTCTCCAATTTGTTGTCCAGGGTGATTTGCTTGATGGTCTTTTTGGTATGTTTTTCTAAGAATTTTGAATGATCTATTTCTGATACGTCAAAGGCTGAGAAAGGAAATAAATGACATAAGTAAAAGAAGGAATTCTGACCTAAGGGCAAACAGGACACTTGAAGAGATCTGAGAAACACAAGATATATGAAAAAAGTAGCTTAAGAACACTAAAACGATAAGACTATGAGACAATAAATTCAATATCTGCTTCCTTTTAATGAGTGAAGAGGATCAAAGTGAACCTACCAAATGGTTGAGAAGTGTAGGTGCTCTTTGATGACCAGAGAGAGGCAGAAGGAAATATATCACAGGTTTTATTGACAAGTTAATCAAAAAGCAGGGAAGCACAGAAATGAATTGTTGACTTTAAGCCAGGTTAGGTGGAGGAACTGAGAGATCCAATTATAGAATGAAGAAGGAAGTAATCAATGGGAACAAAAGAGATATGGTTGTAGTTTTTCAACCAGAGTTCCACTAGGGAAGAAGAAAAGGTTTGTGGGTAGTATGGTATCATTTTCTTTCTCCATAAAAATGAATCTTTCTACCAGGAAGTTTGAGTGTCATAAACCTGCAGTAAAATTTAATGGCCAAAATATCCACTGAGTTTCAGATTATATACAATGTAAGGGATGTTGTTCCCAAACAACAGATTGGGCATTTTCACTATGACATACTGCAAAAAAAAACATACTGTAAGGAAAGTCAAGTTTGCTGGGAAACAGCTGTCACACTTTCACGAAGTGGAATTTCAAAAGGTTCCACTGAGCTTTGAGTGAAATACACATGTTGGGGTGGCTGTTCACCAATGGCAGCTTGGGAATTTGACCTATTTCACAGTTGAATACATTCCATGGTTCAAAAAAAGCTAAGTTTGAAATGATGGTATACAAGGAAACAGCTGTAGTGTCACATTTCTACAAAGTGTAACATTTACCAGTGTCTCCACATCTTTCATCCACCAAGGGGAAAGGTGCAGGATGTTTATTAGTGAAGCAAACAATTCAGTGTAGAAATTTCCTGCTAGCTGCTAGTAAGGGTAAGTTCCAGATTGCTCCTTTTAGGGAAAAAGCTGTCTAACTGCCCTCAAGTACAACTTGAATTATTTCAATTGTATCCACATAAATAACAATATGAAATTTGTGACGTATTTCCTTTCAGCCGGTTGCCCTGCCACCCATTTAAAGGGCGGGTATCCGTGGATACCTGCTCGGATACCCGCCTAGGCCAACGGATACCCGCCAGGGGGTGCGGATGCGGATGCGGATGCCACATTGCACTGGAAAACGGAGGGGATATCCGCATCCAGATGGCACGGGGCCATCTCTAACCTGACCCCATTCACTTTCTGTGCAAAGTTTGAACAGACTGATCAGCTTGGACAGGTCTATGACTCTCAGTCCTTCTTGATGACTTGTGCCCATGTGGGCCTGAAATATTAGAATCATTGTAGTTTGATTTTTTTTTTAAAATTTATTGATTGGATGTGTGCTGGTGGGCCCTTTCCCACTGGTATCTTGGGCAGCTTCATTCATGCAATAGGACAAGAAAAGGAGCCAAAAAAAAAACTCAGCCAAAGAAAAAAAAACTCAGCCAAAGTAAAAGAAATCAGCCAACAAAAAATAAATCAGCCAAAGAAAAAGAAATAAGCCCAAGAAAAAGAAACCAGCCCAAGAAAAAGAAATAAGCCCAAGAAAAAGAAATAAGCCCAAGAAAAAGAAATCAGCCCAAGAAAAAGAAATTAGCCAATGAGAAAAAAAAATTGGGCCAAGAATAAAAAAGCCAATGAAAAACAAAAAAAAATCAGCCAAAGAAACCTGGCATATGAAAATTTACATGTGTGCTGAATTCTTGTGTGCCAAGAAAGTCTGGTTTCTTGGGCCGATTGCGCGTTGTGCTTGGTAAGGACTGGGTGTTGTATCATACTGCTGCAGGCAGGTTGTGGGTTCAATCCCAGTGTGGATGTGATTTTTTGAGGTTTGCCCTGCCAAAAAACCACCCAATGGATGGTTTATTCCAAAACGTCTGATTCAAGGTTTCAGAGCCAAGGAAAACTAGCCAGACAACCATCCAGCGCACCAACCAAAAGTTGTCCGGCCTGACCCGTGGTGTACTTTCCCAACAAGTCATAGTGTAATGATCACTACATGATTTCAGTCTATAAAACCCTCTGCAATCACCCATGCTCTTTGCTAACCGGTTGTCCACCAAGGGGCATAGAGTCGACTCTATGTGATTCTTTCTTGAACAGTGGCCAGATAAAAGCATTTTTACTCACAAAGAACTGGGCATCCATATTATTACACATAGGGGGTTTCAAAAATTGACTTTTGAACATCATCCTAGTAACCCACCATCTGGCGCCACCGCTGGTATATTCCGAGTTCCCGGTTTCTTGTTCTTCATCCAAGGTGGTGATGGTGTTGTTGATGACATTGTTGTTTCCGTGTTCCGGCTTAAATTTGGAGTTGGCGTAAAAGGTCGTTTCCTAAAATTGGTTCGTGGAGCAAATAATTCTTCCATATCTGATATACCAAACAGTATATTCATGTCGATTGTTGTTGATTATTCCAGTTTGTCTTGATATAGCATTCCTTTGAAACTTTCCTATTTGGTCTTCTCAAAAGCAAAACAATTATGGTTGCTGGTGTCTTCACCAGGGCAAGATGGGGTATATATATATATAAAATAGTTAACAATAACTGGGAATTTTTTCTTCTAACAGGATCTACTTATCCAAATCCTTCAGGTCTCTATTAACTTTCTTATGGGATATAAGCAGCTGCTTCCTTCAAATAGTTCCGGAGATCTCTTCTAACAGGATCCTAGTTATCCAAATCCTTCAGGTCTCTATTGCCCTTCGTCTGGTATATAACTGGCTGTTTCCTTCGAGGTACTCTTTTCAGTCTGGTTCACAAAATTCTTATGGTTAATTCAAGGTTAGTAATTGTTCTTTTCAGGAGATTAATGGTAGTTTTGTTGAATGGTTTATGAAGATTGACTGGTTGGTCAACAGAATAACTGAATATACCGTTGAGTGATACAGAATTGAGTTGATAAATTTGATCTGTTCGACGCTAGAAGTTGTGATCCTTTGACAATGGCTTCTTGTTCTTGCTGAAATTTGGTTAATCAATGTCGATCAAACAAAGAATCCCTATCACGTTGGGGACTTCCTTGTAAGACTCAAAAGTGGTTATGAGAACCCTTTTGCTGAATGTTGAAGGGTATGGTGGAGTTGCAAGCTCTGCCCTTCTGTACTATCAGATAAAAAGACCCACCAAGCTCAGCTTGGCAAGTTTTAATCAAGTGATAGGGGTGGTTGGTTCGAGAATAAGTTGTTTGATCGCAATATAATTGTATGAGAGAAGAGGTTTTGAGAGTATGAGGGTGAGTTTAGTGTGTATTACAAGTGTAAGGGTTGTTATAAGGTGTTATAAGGGTTGTTACAGTATGTAATGTAAATGGTATGGTATGTAATGGTAGGGGGTATGTGATTTGTGGGTACTAAACTGGGGGGAAAACAACTGAGAGGAGAGCCTCTTAAATACACAAAGGTAAGGGATTTTAGCTTCAGGGGAACAAGGGAATGAGATATTTTAGCTGGCCAGAGCTTTACAATGAGGGGTTTTAGCTAGTCAGAACATGTACATGAGGTATTTTGGCTGGTTGAGCAACCTACATGATGTCATAAGAGTCATTTTAGCTTGAACTAGAAGTCTACATGAGGGTTTTACGCTGGTGTAGCATGCTACATGAGGTGATTGTACTAGTCTGAAACTAAGATGGAGTGATGAAGATTACATGAGTGGTGTGAGATAGTCTGACAGCTGCAAGGAAGAATAAAAAATGACATGACAACCTGCATGATGTCACTTGTAAATCCCGAGTGGTTCCAGTCCAACACTGCATGTGTCAATATGTCAGAAGATGGTGGAGTGGTGTGTATACTTATGTACTATGCTGGTGAGAGAGTTTAGTTGTCCTGCAATGTGCATATGTATAGTGTGAGATATGTAATTGTTGATGTGTTGGTGGTGATTGAGTGTTGACAGGTTGTTGAGGTGTGTAAGTGAGTGTTGTGAGAGTCCAGAGGGTGTAGCTTCCAATCCAGTTGAGTTCCAGTGACACCTCCAGTGGTGACCAAGGGTGAAATTGAGTGTAGAATCCATTTATTGAGCCATATTGAGTGATTTGTGAGTGTATATATGAGAAAAAATGAAGAATAGAAACAAATAATGAAAAGTAATAAAAAACTTTGAATTTTTACACATTCAGCTACCACACCGTCTTGAATCCCCACATACTCTCCTCCATCCAAAAACCAATTTTGATATTGGTGTGATCATTGGGAAATATTGGGCCCAGCTGAAGATCCTGAAACCGAGATATGTGAATCTGCCAAAACGGAACATTGCTTGGTTAGAAACGGTGGCTGTAAGGGTAGGTTTAATGATGTTGAAGACCTTGAAGAGATTACAAAAAGGGTCAAATATAATTGTTTGGACTGACAATACAACCACAGAATCAGTGATCGAAACGAGAAATTAAGGCAACAAATTTGTCAACAACAAGTGGAAGGTGATCCAGGATTTCTTAATTAAGGAAGAAATAGATCTGACAGGGAGAGGGGTCAAGTCAGAAGATAATAAAGCAGATAATTTGTCTCAAGTGGTACGTGAGGCTCTGAAAAACAGCAACAGGGTCCTTTTTGATATCCTGAAAGAATGATAGTTGTACCTATGCCACACCTGATTATGAACAGCTACCCTATGTATGAGTGTTCCTTGTACAAAGATTTAGAAATCCCTGTACATTTATCTGTCTTGTGTGATAGCAATACCAACCAACATGATTTGCCTCCTACCTCTGTTTTGGCATACTCTTGTGACTAATAACACAATGATAGATTCACCAGCTGATATAATAGTAGTAGACAATGAACATTTAACAGTCGGTCATTTAAATCAAATAAAGGCTTTTGCAGCAAACAGTACTTGCCATTATCCAATATCAACATTGAATGCACACTTGTTGAGCGGTTGGAGATGGAAGACAATTTTGGGTTATAATGCGGCGGTTAAGAAATTCATCTTCTTCAAAAATTTGTCAGGCAATCACGATTTTAGATTATTGGCAAAAGTAAAAGATATAGAAGACTTTTGTTTTTGGGCCAGAGGAAATTTATATTTGAATAACTTGTACAAAATCTCGGCACCATCCATCAAGAAATACCTGTGTGGTTTGAAGGCGTGGCACACATTCCACAGCAAAGAGTATCCCAATATATCTGATAAATGAATTGAATTGCTAATCAAAGCATCCTCTAGAGTAGACGCAGCACTTCCAAAGAAAGCAAAAAAACCGCCAATAATGTTGAAACATTTAATTTGGCTTTCAAATGCCTTATTCCCAGGAGGGGATATTGACAGGACTATAATGGACTTAGTGATCATCACGTTTTGGGGGATGGTGCAAATTGGGGAATTGACGCACAACAAACCTTTTGGCAACCTGGATGCTCAGAATGAAGTCTTAACAACCAATGTTAGAATTGTCAAATCGGCAATAGGAGAGAAAGCCATCATCACAGTATAAAACACAAAAACAGCGGAGCCGGGAAAACCACAAGAGATTGTCATACACAGTTTGAAAAACATGTTATGCCCTGTGTTGGCCGTTAAGCAAAGGTTGGAAGAAGCAAATGGAGCAAATACATCTCTATTTGGTTTCTAAAGAGAAGGAGGACGACATCATCTGACCAGAAGTATTGCAGTAAATAGGATACAATTTATTCTTCAAGCTGGTGGTTTTGAAGGACTCCTAGGGCATTCTTTTAGAGTTGGAGGTGTGTCTTTGCGCTATGCTTTAGGAACTCCAGTGGAAGAGATTTGTTTATTAGGAAGATGGATTTCTAATTGTTATAGATTAAATATTAGAGAATATACCACAGATGACACAATGGACAGCAAGAGGATTATAACAGAATTAAATGACTTGTGGGAAGAGGAATTATCTTTGTGTGAATTGTCTAAATGGATTGGAGATTTAGGTTTTTGTCACCAGGCTCAGGCTCCTATCATCTTTAGAAATTTACACCTGAGTAGAAGGTGTTTTTTGTTCCAAAAACCTATCTCTTTCTTTAGACACAAACAAAATATTAAAGTAAAAAAAAAAGTTTTGATTTTATTTTAATACATTGATTATTTCCTGTGGTCCCTAAAAAGATTCCCTGATTCTAAAATTATGAATCAAGAATTAGTTACCACCCACACTCTGGATAAATGGAGGAACTTGTTCCACATCTGTCCTAGGAGATGCCCTGCGGCACATCTCTGACACGAGTACCACAGAGATGATTAGAGTGCTAAATAGACAAGGGTCACTGGTGCAGGTTCACAGCTAATGAATACATGTAGAAGATGCACATTTTCTTTGTACATGTCCTGATGTGAAAACCATCCCAATTTGATGTATGGTTGGGAGTCAAGTTGAGGTTTTGTTCATCTGGGTCTACATTACCCACATATTTGAGGGGTTTCCAGGGTCATCCCACAAGGTAGCAGGGACACAGGCTTTGATAATTAGTTCATTAGCGGGTTCACAATAGTGTTTTTTTGATTCTTGCACCCTTTAATTTTTTTTCTTGCTCACGCATAGCTGACGTTAATTTTCTCAGCAAAAATTCAAAATTCCGCACTAAATTTTATGCCTGCAACGGTGCTGCAGTTTCTCACGAGAACCAAGAGAGCTTCATGTGAGAAGCTGAAAAATGTGCATTTTTTCTGCTTTCTACATAAAATTTGACACAAAGTGGAGAGATATAAAATTGTGAGTCTTCACTTTTATGCTAATGACTGGCTTCTGGTTATGTTCAATTCTGATGAAATGATAATTTGAGTAAAATAAATTCTGAAAAAATTGAATTTTTGTGCCCTATGGTACTGGCCCTATATGGCCCTGATTATAAACCAAGTTTTTGGATTTCGGCTCTTTTTATTTGAAAAGTATTTGAAAACCAAAAAGAAATCAAAAAGAAACCAAAAAGAAGTTCAAACACTTTTCAAAAACTTCTCAAATAATTTCTGCACTTATAAACCCCCTGGGCCTAGGGGGTCTGTATCACGTCTGGGTGCAATTACAAGGCACAGAACCTGCGCAAACTGGCCCTTGTGTGATTTTCCAGCCCCAGGGGTGGGGCTGCACAAGGCGGACTTCACCGTTCAAGACGGTGACTTTCAATGAGAGTTGCTTATCATGTGAATGAGAAGCAATGGTTTGTTTCTTTGAAGTGGGTAAGGATGCTATTCCACACTTCGGTAGTGGTCAAGACTTATACTCAATAGGTCCTCTGGGGAAGAGGTAAGACCACATGATGGATCAAGAATGGAGTCGTTGAGGATGAGGGAAACAGAGGCTGCCCGCGATAGGGGGCAGTCGAAGGCACCACCGTTATGGGGTCGGTTGAGCGAGATGATGAGAGTGACCCGCCACCGTTGTGCGCTTCGGCAGATGCTGACGTTCGAGATGTCCGACGTGGAGTGAGGTTTTCAGATTGGTCTATCTGTATGACTGGATATAACCATACAGCAGAATACTGACCAGTTTGCCAAACTGAAGTTTTTGAGATCTCAAACCACCTCTGGAGCTGGTTTGAAATTTTTTGAGTGAGTTTTTGAAAGAAAAAAGAAAAGAAAAAGAAAAAAAAAAGAAGTTGGAATACTTTTCAAAAACTTTCAAATATATTTTGAAAAACCGTTTATAATCAGGGCCTATATCTATCATGAACCCCGCTATTGGCTATTGTGTCCCATGCAAAAAATGTTCGATCGGAGGACCATCAGGTGTAAGCCCCTCCTGCAGGGGGTCTGGCTCTAAAGCTGATTCCGACTCGCTTCGCCCATCCAACTCTCAGCTCAACACCAACCTCAACTATCCGCGGACCGCTCTCATCCTCGACGCCATCGACTCCGCAATACAACTTTACAAGCTCAACTGGCTCACTCGGAGCAACCGATCGATGGTCATCAAGGTCTTGCTCTAACTTCTCACCCTCGCTTGCAGGACTCGAATCTAACCTTGATACACTGGTTCATCTTTCTCGTCGTTCTTCTCTGCTCGTCTCCTTCGTGTCGTGACTCGAAATCATATTGGTAAATGACTTGTTTCAATCTCTCTTTCTCTGTCTTTCTAATTTCTTCAGTCATTGATTGTTTCTTCTCTTCCGTCTTGCAGGGATCTGTTTTTAGCACTTTACGTCGACAGGCCTCACTCTCACAAGTCGGTCAACAGCCCTCACTCTCACAAGTCGCTCCACGCCCATACTCTCAGGATGGTACCCAAAAGAATCTGGCTATCGTACAACAATCGGCTCAGTTGCGTTCTAACACAAGAGCTCGAGTTCGTTATTGACCTCGCCAAGGCGGCCAGAAACGAATTCTTGCCTTATCTGCGTGACTTCGCCACGCCGGATATCACCCTGCATGTCGATGAGGATGCAGAGGCGCTCACTCCACACTCACGCCTTGCAGAACAGGCTGCACAACTCTCCCATTGCAGCGCACCAGAGACTCCTCTTGTACTGAAAGGTGAGCTTCGGTCAAGCCTCCATTCCGTCCTTGTCCAAGCTCTTGTGCCAGCAATACTAAGCTCAAGCTCCCGTTGTGCTCCCTCCCCCTGCTTGATCGCTGAACATTTTGTGTCCCGTTAATTGTAGTAAAATCGGACGTTGCCCCGGAGACTCCTCTTGCAGCGAAAGGTATTCCTGCCACAATCTGGCTATCGTACAACAATAAGCTCACCAGCGTCCGAACACAAGAGCTCGAGTTCGTCGATCACCTCGCCGAGGCGGCCAGAAACAAATTCTCGCCTTATCTGCATCACTTCGCCACGTCGGATATCACCCTGCATGTCGATGAGGATGCAGAGGCGCTGGCTACAGACTCAGCCCTTGCGGAAATCGCGGCACAACTATCCCCTTGCGGCGTCTCAAAGACTCCTCTTATAGTGAAAGGTGAGCTTCGGTCAAGCCTCCATTCCGTCCATGTCCAAGCTCTTGTGCCAGCAATACTAAGCTCAAGCTCCCGCTGTGCTCTTGTCCCTCTTCCTGCTTGATTATTAAACATTTAGTCCCAGAATTTAAAGCAGGATCGAAAGTTGAAGAGGGCCTCATACGCTTCTGGAAGGCTCTACCAGAGGCCAGTTTGGTTGTCGACGGGGAGGTGGAATACTTGGAGCTAAAAGAGTCTTACATTCTCGGAATCAAAAAACTTGGTGACCGCCTACTCGTGCGCCCTATTTACAAAGAGCTCTGCGAGCTTTTTGAGGTCGAGGGCTATGATCAATGGGTCGTTACCGGTACTCCTGGGATTGGAAAAACCTTTTTTTCCGTCTACTACATGTGGATCGCTGCGCGCAAGAAAAAAGCTGTGTTGTGGCAGAATCCCTTCTTTCCTGATGATGTGTGCTATTTGATGACATCAAGCGGCATTGCACCGGTTCGTACTTGGGGTTCTGAGATTGACGGCGTTCTCGCAGAATTCGACCCAGTACACATTGTGGATGGTCGAGCTCCAAAATTGAGAAACGTCTGGACTCTCCTCGTCACCTCTCCACAGCACAATCACTACCACCAATTTCTCAAAGACGACGATTCAAATCTATTGTATATGCCGCCTTGGAGTTATGAGGAATTGCAAACTTGCAAAGCTATCCTTTATCCAGATGAACGAATATTGCCCACAACGCTCATGGACCGGGTTTTCAAATGGTACGGCGGTGTGCCGAGATACGTTCTTGCTCGGGCCTCAACTGAATTCAAACGAAAGGGTGGCAACGAGGACGCCGCATTTCAAGCGGTGAATCGGAGTCTGACTGAAGCCATCAACCGAGGTGGCATAATGGATGCTATCAAAGCCTATCAGAACAAAACTACCGATGGACAAAATTCGCATCGTGTGATACACATTTTTAGTCACCCCTCTGGAGAACTCACTCAGTTTCACTTGTCATGGGCATCAGACCAAGTAGCAACCGAAATGTCCAAAATATATGAGCAAGAACTTCGCTTTAACATTCTGAACTTGCTCCGAAATTTTCCCGATGGTAGCAATTTCCGTGGAATGCTCTTCGAGATCCACGCTCAAAACGTGTTGCAAGAAGGTGGAACCTTTCAAGTCCGTCCACTTGGCGAAGGAGATCCGCGAAGTGGCCAGGACATTAAGATCACGTTTCCCGTAGCCGAACGTCGGACCTTCATAACTTACGAAGAAGTTGACCTACGCACCGACGTGTTCTGGAAGCCGTGCAGTCCAACTCTGGCTTCAATTGATTTGTTGCGTGGACCAGCAAATTTTTTTCAAATTACAGTTTCCAACACACATCCGATCAAGCATCAGGGCCTCAGCAAAGCTCTAGAGCTGGTGGACAAGTCCGAATCCAGCCGAAGGCTTTACTTCGTGGTCCCATCCAATATTTATTCGACTTACAAACATCAGCCGTATCATACCAAAGACGGGAAGATATACAAGCGAAACCTTGGTGACGTTGGCAAAGTAGAGCAGTGGGCTTTGATGATTCCAATAGGGGCCGAGAATCTGTCAAGAGGAGATGAGGAACCCCCCAAAAAGAAGCAGACTGTCTGAAGAGACACACCAAAAAAGACTGTTGTGCTAGCCCCCTTGTTCATCATCTGAATAGAACTATAGTCCAGACAACTCCACCATGCTCACAGAAATTGCCACACTGCTTGATTGGACAACTTACACACATCATCAGTCACAATTAGATATGCTTGTACTTGCATTATGCTAGATCTGTAGTGTTATGAGTAAAATCAAAAACAGTATAAAAAAGTAAATGTGTTATATCACATAAGTTCAAAGATCAATTTCACTACAGCTATTCCGGGAAGTCTTGTCCACTTGGACTCGAGAATTATTTTTTATTTTTTTATTTTTTTTATTTTTTATTTTTTTACTGAACTGGACCTGTCAGAACTGAACTACTGATGACAGCTGTACCTCCTCGGCTGTAGTTCAGTACAAAGAAAAATTTCAAAAATTTCAAAAAAAAAAAAAATTGCGAGTCCAAGTGGACAAGACATCCCGGAATAGCTGTATGATGTTTTGACCATATTCTTGTCTTCAAAGCAGTTGACAAACTGAGTTGTCTTGACCATCTGATTGGTGTTTCCCAGATTAGGCTTGTGTTCTCTTTGTTATTTTATCCTCATTATGATGGTGTGTAATCTACACTGCAACCAATGGAGATTTGAGTTAAGGCCTACAAAAACATGTGGGCAGTATGATTTGATTAGAGGGGCAAGAAGAAGGAATTCTGATTCAGAATTCAATTAGGTGAATAAGATATACACACATGGCTCACTGTCACCATTGGGATCAGAATTGACATCTTACTCTAGATCATCCAGCAGAGCAGGGGGTAATTCCCCCACAACCAGCAGCTGTGCCAAGAGCTGATTGTGAATGTCCTCTTACTCTAGTTGTTGAGGAGAGGAATCCATTAGAGATGGTCGCGGATAAGCCGCTGCGGATATCCGCTATCCGCTGGCGGATACCCGCCAGTGCCAGCGGATACCCACCAGCGGGTGCGGATGTCCTTTTCCCCCCAAATTCCTGGCAGATATCCGGGTATCCCAAGGGATACCCGGTGCCAAGAGAGTGAAGAGGACTGCCCCCCCCCTTCGGCCTAGAGAGGCCATGCCGCCGGGAGGGGTTCCTCCCAGCAAGCTGGTACACAGACCAGCTTGTCGGGAGGGGTTCCTCCCGGCGAGGTGGTACACAGACCAGCACGTCGGAAGGGATTCCTTCCGACGAGCTGGTGCTCTTGTCGGGAGGAATCCCTCCCGACAAGCTGACCCAGCCTTGAATGCTTGAACGAGTGTCAATAGATTGGCTTTTTTTGGGCTTAGACGTATTAGGATAATGCTTGTGCTGGATGTAGATCTGTTTTTCTGGTGGGGGAGGAAGGCGGGCAGGACAAAAAGAGGTATGAGTGGTGAGGGATCGAGGCAGCCTATGGGGACGAGACAAACTGGACCTTCTGGCGGGATTACTGGGCCCATCCAGTGTTTGATCCTTATAAATGGAATCTTGAAACCAAATGCTTGCTCGGCAGGAACATAAGTTATGGGCCTTACATCAACGGGGGTAAGGTCTCATCTATCCTTGGTTCCCCTACCGGCTTCCCCAATTCATACCTGGCTGGACATACAATCTGCTGATTTCCGCACTGGAATCAGAATTGAGTCGTAACTTGTATGTACACAAGTTACCTCCCAACGAGCTGGTGTACATACCAGCTCGCCGGGAGGGAGGGATTCCTCCCGACGAGCTGGTGTACATACCAGCTCGTCGGGAGGCATTCCTCCTGGCGAGCCGGACTTTAAACCAGCTTGTCAGGAGGAGTCCCTCCCGGCGAGCTGGTACAAAGACCAGCTTGTCGGTGCTCTCGTTGGGAGGGAGTCGGACTCCTCCTGATGACCTGGTTTGAAATCCAGCTCGCCGGGAGGAACCCCTCCCGACAAGCTGGTATGTACACACTACACCAGCTTGCCAGGAGGGATTCCTCCTGGCGGCGTGGCCTCTCCTCTCTAGGCCGAGGGGGGCCAGTTATTTTTCTTTTCTTGTTTTTTGTAAAAAAAAAAATCCCCCTCGCCAGCATCAACCAGTAAGAGGGCGGGTATCCGCGGATATCCACGCGGATACCCGCCAGCGCCAGCGGATACCCGCAAGCGGATGCGGATGCCTGATTCCGCTGAAATTGTCAGCGGATATCCGGATCCAACGCGACCATCTCTAGAATCCATATTGAAACGCCACAGCAATCTTTGTGACTTGCTGTTTCCGCAAACCTATGTCTTTTCTGTGTAGGGCAGTTTGGCAAAGACCATCCAAAACCTGCTTAGCCTATGTCTTTTCTTTGTAGGGCAGTTTGGCAAAGAACATCCAAAACCTGCTTAGCTTTATACCAATGTCAATTCAGTGGCCATGAGCACACTTTCTGATTGAACCTTTTTTTACTAGGGTAGCACCACTCATCCAAAAGTCATTCAGGATTAAATACTGTCTTCATATTCTATAAGGGGGTTGGGAAAACAACTCCCAAATATTTTCCAACAACACCTATTCTGGTCAAGGGGCTGTATGCAGGAGTTTTTTTTCCAATCCCCCCTCAGGGGGGATTGGAAGTCAACCTCCCAATTCATTTTTTTTTTTGGTGGAGGAGTTGGTGCCCCAAACCCTCCTTGGCAAGTGGAAGGTTTGGGAGTTGCCTCCCTCCCACTAGCCAGGAGTGATTCCCTCTGGTCATCAAGACTGTACAGTCTTTTTGAACAGAAGAAATCCCTTCTGGTCATCAAGATTGTACAGTTGGTGACCAGAAGGAATCCCTTACAGCCAGTGAGACCCTACCAGCCATTGAGACTGTGAAGTATTGATGGCTGGAAGGAATTCCTTCTGTTCATTGAGACTGTAAAGTATTGATGGCAGGAAGGAATCCCTTCTGATCATGGAGACTGCAAAGTCTTGATGGCCAGAAGGAATCCCTTCTGCTCATGGAGAGTGTAAAATCTTGAAGACCAGAATTAATTCCTTATGGCCATCAAGACTGTAAAGTATTGATGGCCAGAAGGAATCCCTTTTGATCATGGAGACCGTAAAGTCTTGATGGCCGGAAGGAATCCCTTTTGGTCATCAAGACTGTAAAGTCTTGATGGATGGATGGAATCTCTTCTATTTGTTGGGACTTCACAATCTAAATGGCCAGAAAGGATTCCTTTCAGTCATTATGACTGTACAATCTCAATGGCCAGAAGGGATTCCTTCTGGTCATCAAGACTTTACATTCTCAATTAACAGAGGGAATACCTCCTGGACAGCAAAAGGGAGGTGACTAAAAAGCCTTCCACTTGCCAAGGAGGGTTTGGGGAACTGACTCCTCCCAAAAAAAAAATAGAATTGGGAGGTTGACTCCCAATCCCACAGGAAGGATTGAAAAAACAAATACCGTCAACAGCCTCTCAGCCAAAATGAGAGTTGTCAGAAAATATTTGGGAGTTGTTTTTCCAACCCCCAGTTTGAAGCACAAATTGGCCATATTTTTGGCATATTGTGAACCAAAATTTTGTCAGATGTGTGTACATATTCAATAATGTTTTTAAATTGATGTTCAACAGTGGGCCGGCCCAATACCATAACATGATGTAAAGTGAAAAAAAATTCTTTACTTCTTGATGTTAAGGTTATCAAAATCTTGCCTTTTTCCCAATAAAAATCACTTTCAGGGATCAATAAAAGCCCTCAATAACAGCTGATACATGCTGTATTTTGTTGTTACAGCCTGTATGGGTGGGTAAAGCATCATCAAGTATCAAAACTTAATAACCTTTGATAAGATAACAAAAAAAGAAAACAAAATAGGCCAATGGTTTATGCATGTACCTTGTTGGCCCACTATTGCATTGGGTAGTAGCTTATTAGAAACTTGAAATATTTCATAATCCTCTCAGGTGGATGACCCCCAAGTTGAGATTGTTGGCTGTCTAGATGAACTCATCATTGCTGAGCCTGGAGGGGCAACTCAGGTCCTGGTCAGGAGGGTGTGCCAGCCCCACTCATAAAGTCAGATGTGAAATTCATTGAAAGTGTTGTTTAGAAATTTTATTCAACCATTCATCCAAACACTCTGGACTAACAAGATTCAAATTAATCAAAATTACTGGTGTAGTGTGTGAAGCTAAGAGTATCTAATAAAGTGGCTGAGAAAGCTCTTAGACATACCAAAGGGTCTTCAGAAGATGTGTTGCTAGATTTTATTTCTCATGCAGATCTGAAATGATTTACTTGGCTTTTTGATCACCTTGAACAAGGGTCAAGAGCTGCACATCTTAATGTGACATGTCAATCATAGACCTCTCCCAATATTCAATAACAATTCTCAAGAAAAATGCCCAAACAAAATAATAATTTTCATGACCTTTATTGAAATTATTGATGTAATACTGAAATTGTAATGTTTGGTTTTGGTGATCACTGCATTATGTATTTATGTTTTGAAACTTTTCTAAAGACTATAACAGAGTTTGCCAATGGATCAATTACACACTTAAAATATTATCAGAGAACACAAGTTGATTGGAAGGAAATCTATAACAGAAGATACTACTTGCTTGATATCAGTTTTTCCACTGAGTTAGTTTTTGGAATTTTTCTCAATGCTTCAGCAATTGCTTTCCAAAATACATCCACCTTGATCATATGACCTTGCTTTGAAACATTTTCTTGACACCAATACCCCATCAATGCCACTGAAACTATGCCTGACTTATGTAGATTGATCCCCTCCTCACTTAACATCTTTGAGAGATAAATTTGAGCGTCACTGAGCAATGCTTTGGATTTGTCCCTAGGAATTTTGAGTCTTGCTAATCCAATCAGAGGCACCTGATCTCTTCCAGTCTGTTCAAATATGAGATCCCGAAACCATTCAAGTAGTGGTCGACCAAAGTTTTCCGCAAACCCAGTAATACTTCTATCCAGTCCAGTAGAAACAAGCACATTGTGAAACAGATCTAGGGTCTGGAATATCGGATCAACTCTCTGTGCAAGAGTTCCTAACCAAAGAAGGCCACCTCTGCTTAAGCTTCTTTGCGTAAGTCTGATCAAGACCTTGTTCCTTCCTTCGGCATCTATCTCAGTGGGCCTCCATTTGATTGATATCGGTAGATCTCCCGGTATTTCATTTTGCAACGGGGTATAACCAGTATTCCATAACTCTTTGGCTAACTCGAAACGCTGGTAAATGTCCTTCTTAATCTGCTCTGTGCTTTCTGGATTTCGAGGAGGAAACCTAACTGTGCGTCTGAAGAGAACTTTCCACCAATTTTTGAGACCGAAGTCGTTCAAACCTGTTGAGTTGATTAAGCCTTTTTCTTCCTCTGCAATATTGGGCTTTTTGCGAATCCTGCGGCGGAGTGGGCGGGTTTTCTTACTAGGATGTGTTTG